AGTTTAATATTTGACACATAAATAACATTCTCTTCACTTATGCTCCATGGGTGAAGAAGGACATGAACAATATAGGGGTTAAGAAGAGCACCATATTATTTGTAAAGCTTTGGTAAAAAGTAGATTATTGCAAAATGAAGATGGTAAGTTTTTTGAGCACTAAATGCCAAGTAGCATGCTAAGAACTTTAAATGTCTGATGTTTAATATTATAGTAACCCTCTGAGGTGAGTATGATTAGTATGCCCATTTTGCAGCTAAGGAAACTGAGGCTTGGTGAAGTCAAGAAGCTTGTCCAGGATCACACAACTAGTAAGCAGTAAGGGACTAAAACTTTGGTCTCTCTGAATTTGGAGCCTCTGCTCTTAACCAGTATACTATGCTACCTCCTGAAAGGTAAATGAGAAGCTAGAATTGGTTATCCTAAAGAGAATCCTGCATAGTGAATTAATCGTAGATTGTATGTATGGCTATATATAAAAACTGCAATTAGTCTTTCCATAAGAGCAGAAAAAGGATATAAACTTCAGTGTGAAAGAATTTATTAGATATAAGCTAGATGAGGAATCTTTCTTATGTGGACCATTGCCTCACAGAGAAAAGAAATTATTGGAAGGCCTCAGGTTTTAAAAAGGCCAGGCAGTAGTGATGGATGGTGAGAAATAAATGTCAATGAAGAGAAAAGTGGCTGTCTAAATTCATAGCAAAGAGTTTACTTTATGAAAATATAAGAACTATAAGAAATATTACAAAGGTATGTATAAGATATTAGATTTTACAAAGATATATAAGATATATTACAGAGAATTGTATGTTTGTATTCTAGCCCATTCAGGAAAAGGCATGTAAAAGAAGAGAAGGGAAAAATGTCAGGGGAAGGAAAGGCAGAAACAGAAGACATAAGGAGGGAAATTAAGAAAACAAAGAAGAAGATGGAGCATGTACAAGAGTAAAGGCAGGAGCACATCCTCCCTACTCTGCCTAGGCCTACGTTTCTTTGACTCGAATTTCCCTTCTAAGAGTTTATTCCAAAATTCTTCTTTCTAGATCCTGTTCCTTAAGAAATATTATAAAACAGCTTCTGTTGTTTCACTCATCCACGACATCCGATTCCCTCTCTTATCCTTAAGTGAACTGTCAGGGCATAACCATTAAATGTACCTAATTCATTTATTATTGGCTTTGAAGTCTCTGTAAAATGATGCTGAATTATGTATTAGCCTATATTCCCATTTATTTTTTATGAACTTTCCTATTCTCACATGGGTTATTTTTCCATGTTATAAATAAAATATGCCCCATTTTTTCCTAGTAACTTTTGGATACTGGATAATCAAACTAAAAATGTTTCCCTTCCTTAGCACATATTGATTTTAGGTAACTAATAGAAGTATCATGAAATGATCTGTAAAATTCCTGTGAGTTTTTATTGACTATTGATTTAATCTTTCTATTCTCCCTAAAGAATGCCCACATAATATCTTGATTTCAAGTTCTAAAATTAATTAACTACATGAGTAATTTCCTCTTTCTCATCAAAAGTGAAATTTAATTTTTTATGATCACTGTGGATGATTTAAGCTAAAAAAGAA